GAAGGCCTCTGGGCTTGCAGTTCCAGTGTCAGCAAAGTAAGAAAGTGTGTCCGATGGGGTCCTGGGCACTAGTCTCATTAATGAGCATTCCAGAGAAGGTCTTGCAGTTGGTCTGGTTGGTGTCATCATAGGGTCAGGTCTTGTTCCCGCGCTGGTCAGACCTCAATTCCAGGTTTCCACCAGAAGGTCGAAATTGCAGGAAGTCAGTAAGCTCTTAATTCCCCTGGGCTTGCAGTTCAACCTTCGTCGATAGTCGAGCCTCGTTGGTCGTAGAGTCTTTAAACCTGAAAGTAGATTCAAAACAACATTGTCAGCAATTCTGATAGACTTAGAATTGAGGTTTAGCAGAGCAGAACAATTAGAAGATATGTAAGAATAAGATCTGCTGCAGACAGCTCGCAAAATGTCACCACGTGCAGGCGCCATCCGTTTAAAAAAAAAAGTGGGGTCAGGGATTTTGACCCAGCAGCAGTGAAAGAATGGTGCTGTATTTCAAATCAGTATATTGCACGGCTTGGAAGGGAACTTGCAGATGGTGGTGTTCCTGTTTCTTTGCCTTTGCTTCCCTTGTCCCTCTTGGTGGTAGGGGTTGTGGATTAGGGAAGTGATATCATAGAAACATTGAGTTACTGCAGCATTCCTTGTATATGATGTACTAACTGCTGCTGCTAATCTTTGATGGTAGAGGGAGTGATTCTTTTAAGTTGTCAGATGGAATGCTGATCAATCAGAATGTGTCAAGCTTGACAGTTGTTCTAACCACTCCAATATGTGCAAACGTAGTTATTGCTTGGAAGTGTTGAGTAGAGTTTAGGGAGTAGGGAAGTGAGTAATGCAGAATTCCCAGCCTCTGACCGGTTCTTGTAGCCACAGTATCTATATGGCTACTCCAGTTCAGTTTCTGGTCAATGATAACCTCCAGGACCAGTATGAGAGAATTAGGTTCTGATTTGAGGACCTCTGGCACCAATACTGGGGAAAGTGTGATCTCTACCATCAGGACAGTCTATGTCTGAACTGTGTTGGGGCCCATATTCTTGGGACTCATATAATTGGTGAAGTAGAGAGGATTTTATGCTAACTAGTGGGAGCAAGGAATCAAATTTGGCAAGATGTGGTAAATTAAAGAGTAGTGACAAGCAGTATTCCTGTTAATTCTTTTTTTTTCCCTTCTGCATGGACTTCTGAGGTCTGTGCACAATAGCAACTTCCAGAATCCGAGGTCAGTCCTATGATTAGCAGTTCAGAGAAGGTGTACCAAACTAATACCTGGAAATGGGCAGTTTCTCTTGTGAGGAAAGTTTGGACAGACTAGGTTTGTGTCTGCTGGAGTTTGGAAGAGTAAGAGCTGATCTGATTGAAGTATATAAAATCCTAAGTTATCTTGGCAGGATAGATGAGGATGTTTCCTCATTGAAGAATCTGAAAAGTGGTCACTGTTTAAAAATAAGGGGTTGCCCATTTAAAACAAAGATAAGGTAATTTTCTTTCTCATAATGCATCACAAGTCTTTGGAGTTCTCTCTCTTACTGAAAAGATGGTGGAAGCATAGTCCTTAGCTGTTTTTTTAAGAGTAGAAATGGTTACATCCTTGACAATCAAGGGGGTGACAGGTTATCAAGGATAAATGGAAATGTGGAATTGTAGTTACACTTCAGTCTGCCATGATTTTGTTGAATGGCAGTGCAGCATCGGGGGGGTCAAATGGATTCTTCTGCTCCTTGTTCAAAGGTTCATATGTATATCTAAAACAGAGCCTGCAGCCTCATTCAGATCCTGGTCAGATTAGCTACTGTTCACATCTCTCCAAGGTCACATAAGCAGTGTTTCTCAGCGATAGCAAGAACTGCTGATGCTGGAGTCAGAGTGAACACAGTGTGGAGCTGGAGAAACACAGCAGGCCAGGCAGCATTGCAGGAACAGGAAAGTCGACGTTTCATCTCGGGACCCTTCTTGAGAAATGGGAAGGGGCAACGGAGCTGGGAAATAAATAGGAGGATGGATAGAGCTGGAGAAAGGTAGGTGAGATGGTGATAGGTGGATGCAGGTAGGGGCTCGTAGGGATTGGTCATTGGGCGGATAGGTGGGGAAGAAGATGGACAGGTTGTGTCAGGTCAAGGAAGCGGGAATGAGAGGGAGGGTTGGACGTGGGATGAGGCCGGGGGCAGGGAGATTTTAAAGCTTGTGAATTCCATGTTTAGGCCATCGGGCTGTAGGCTCCCGAGGTGGAATATGAGGTGTTGCTCCTCCAGTCTGCATGTGGCGTCGCTCCTCCAGTTTGCATGTGGTGTCATTGTGACACTGGAGGACGCCCAGGATGGACATGTCACCCAGGGAGTGGGAGGGGAAGTTGAAATGGTCAGCGACTGGAAGGTGTTGTTGAGAATAGCATACAGAGTGTAGATACTCCATGAATTGGTCACCGAGTCTGCACTTGGTCTCACCGATGTAGAGGAGGCCATGTCGGGAGCAACGGATACAGTTGGCCAGGTTGGAGGATGTACAGGTGAACCCGTCAGATTTGGAAAGTTTGAAGGTGAGAGGGGAGATGTAGGGGCAGGTGTAGCACCTCCTGCCATTGCAGGGAAAGGGGGCGGGGCTGGTGGGGTTAGTGGGAAGTGTGGAGCAGACGAGGGAGTTCCGGAGTGAACGGTCCCTACGAAAGGCAGAAAGGGTTGGTGAGAGAAATATCTCTTTGGTGGTGAGGTCGGATTGTAGGCGGCAGAAGTAGCAGAGGATGATACGCTGGATGCAGAGGTTGGTGGGGTGATATGTGAGGACTAGGTGACTCTGTCATTATTTTTGTTGGGGGAGGGGGTTTGAGGGCAGAAGTACGGGAAATTCAAGATATGCGGTTGAGAGCATTTTTTAAATCACCGGAGGGGAGGGATGTTGTAGTGCTTGAAAAAGGAGGCCATCTGGGATGTCCAGGAGTGGAACGCTCCATCTTGGGAGCAGATATGGCAAGGTGGAGGAATTGGGAGTAAGGGATCACATTCTTGCAGGAGGATGGGTAAGGGGAGATGTAGTCCAGGTAGCAGTGGGAATCGGTGGGTTTGAAATAATGTCGGTGTTGAGATGGTTACCAGAGATAGAGACGGACAGGTCCAGGAAGGGGAGGGAGGTAACGGAGATGGTCCAAGTGAATTTGAGGTTGGGGTGGAAGGTGTTAGTAAAGTTGATGAACTGTTCAAGCTCCTCATGGGAACAGGAGGCAGTGCTGATACTGTCATCAATACAGTGGAGGAAGAGGTGAGGGATGGTGCCGGTGTAACAGATGCAGAGGGACTGTTCCACATATCCTACAAAGAGACAGGCATAACTCGGACCCATATGGGTGCCAATAGCCACCCCCTTAGTTTGTAGGAAGTGGAGGAGTTAAGGAAGAAGTTGTTCAAGGTGGGACAAGTTCCGTTAGGCGGATGAGGGTGTTGGTGGATGGGGACCGGTTGGGCCTGTGGGAGAGGAAGAAGCAGATAGCATTTAGGCCATCCACATGGGGGACACAAATGTATAGGGACTGGATGTCCATGGTGAAGATGAAGTTTTAGGGGCCAGGGAATTGGAAGTCTTGAAAGAGGTGGAGGGCATGGGTAGTGTCCTGAACATAGGTGGGGAGTTCCTGGACCGGGTGAAAATGACAGAGTCAAGGTAAATGGAGATGAGTTCAGTGGGGCAGGAGCGGGCAGAGACAGTGGGTCGACTGGGGAAGTCAGGTTTTTGGATTTTGGGAAGGAGGTTGAAAAGAGCAGTGCGACATTGGGGAATAATGGGGTTGGAGGCTGTGGGTGAGAGGTCTCCTGAGGTGATGAAGTTATGAATAGTCTGAGAGATGATTATTTGGTGATCAAGGGTGGTGTCATAATAGAGGGGCGGTAGGAGGTGGTGTGGGAGAGTTGGCGCCTGGCCTCCACGATGTTGAGGTCAGTGCGCCATGCCACTACCACACCCTTCCCCCCCACCCCCCTTATCTGCGGGTTTGACGGTGAGGTTAGGATTGGAGCGGAGGGTTGCACATTCCGATGGGGAGAGGTCGGAGTGAGTGAGAGGGGTGGAGAGATCAAGGCGATCGATGTCATGACAACAGTTGGAGATAAAGGGGTTGAGGGATGGTAGGAGGCTGTGGGTTAGTGTCCAGGAGGATGGAGTTTGTTGGAGGCAGGAGAAAGGATCGGTAGACGTGTATGGAATTCGTTGACGTGTGGGCACAGGGGAATGAATGTGAGGCCTTTGCTGAGGACTGACCATTCATCCTCGGTGAGAGGGACGTCTGGGTAGGGAGGGGTATGGTGAATACCCAGCAGGGCTGGAGCTGGGAGTAGGGATAAAGACTGTCTGAGGAGTGGGTGTGTTTGGTGGAAGCAGAAGTGACGTCGACAGCATCAGTGGGAGCAGCCGAGGCAACCGCACGGTTAATGGCACCAGATAAATTAAGAATGAGGTTGAGGGTAGCGTTAGAAACAAGCGGTGGAGGAGGCCTGTGTTTGGAGGTCAGCACGAGTGTTTCTCATTTTGTTTAAAACGCTTTATTCCTGTCCTAAATAATTTATACCTTATCTTCTTTGTAATGGAATATTATATCCATACTTAAGCCTTTTCAATTTTATCAGTGGTTTACCTCTATGTCTGGTGTTAGACACAAGAAGATTTTCAGAGAGAATGAGTTGCTTGGAATTCTTATTCCTTTTAAACTCAGAAATGATAAATATGGCATCTGTCAAATTCTAATAACATCAATAACCTGGTCTCTTCTGTTTGTACTCTGTTAGTTATTCAATATTATTATGGGGAACATCATAATAGAGATATAATACATAGTGTTGTCCAGAGATAGAGACCTCAATGCTAAACCAATGTTTTATGAATAGAGCAGTGTTCCATTCTCCCAATGCTTTCAACAGAGATGCTAGAGAGCTATTGCCAGCTTGTGATATTTTGATTATTCCAAGTACTAGAATATTCACAACATTAATTGTTACTACGTTTTATTTCCCCTACAGTTTCTGCAAACAGTTAGGATTTAAAAATGAAGAAATTCATGCTTTCAATGGTTAACATCCAGGAATATCAGCAACAATTTTGCACTGGTAAAAAGTCATTTTTGATACAAATAAAAACCTGCTGAGCAGGTTCTGTTAAAAATTATTAAAATATTGTTGGCACACTGCGCTATGCATATCTCCTGCCTTAGTATTGGTTTGTGTGCTGTATTTGATATAATTATTGTAAATGCATTAACTTTTTTTTTTAAAAAGGACTTGCACATATAATTTATACCCATGAGGATGATGTTCGATACTCTTGAAAGGCTTACATTTTTGCCCTGTATTATGTTAAATGTGCAAGTAGGTTTTTACCAATTGTACCACCAGTAACTAAAGACTAGTAGGATGCAATATGATGCAGTATTCTGTGGCCTAAGACAGATTTCTACTGTATTTTGGGAAAGGAAAACTACTGACAAGTGGGTTATATTTTATGGAAGATTTATATCAGAATGTTCCCAACTGAGCCTGGACTGTGCACTGATATCCAAATCTTGTACTGCGGGCTATATAAAGTATCTCTCAAATGAACTATTCAAATGTCATTTCTTGAAAGATTATAATCTGAAAACTTAAAGTACAATAAAATATTTATGCAAACCTGAACAGAGTTGCACATTTTTTTCCAACGGTGTCACAGTGTAGGAATGTCAGCCTTGTTGCAGTGAATCCTATAGCTATGTTTGAAACGTTGGGCCAGTTGTATAAAAACATCTTGTAATAGAATGGCTTAACATGGTTTGACATTTCCAAGGCTGAAGAATTAAGATTTTAATTTTGACTCTACCCACAAAGTGAACATCATGATTTGAGGGTGGAAAAAATTATTTTTTCAGAACAAAAGATAAAATTTCATTGAAGGAAATCACAAGGTTGGCAACTAAATTCTTAGGCCAATTGGATGAAAAATGACAAAACTAATGATATTTTAAAAAAACCGTAACTTAAATACGGAATAGGGTTGCCAGGTTTTACTTGTTCAGCTCAGCTGTGGGCATACAAAGTTGGCAATATTAATTGATCCCTTGGACTGGATTATTTCTTTTTAATTCAGACACATCCTAATATGCGCCATAACAAAAGCAAAGTATGGCAGATTTTGGGAAATCTGAAATAAAACCAAAATGCTGAAAAATCAGAGAGAAAAATTAGTTGATCGGGAGAAATTTTGTTTGGGCCTGGGAGTCCAAAGTCAGGTAAATATCTACATCCTGACCCTCTGTCAGTGATATGAAATACCTGACAAGATTTCTATTGGGATGGCTAACTTTTGGCCAGGGAGTGCGCTCACTGTCCAATTGAATATAGTAAGCAGGCCCTCAAGGCTGGAGGGCCAGTGGAGACCCTCTAGCAATGACAAGCCAAACAGTCCAAGTCGGGAATTGCTGATTGAATCATGCAAAAAGGAGGGTTCCTTTAGATGAAGTAACTCTCTGAGGAGAGGGTAATATATTGTCTTTAATTAAGGCAGCTACAACTGCGAGATCCTCATTATGGAGGGGCAACCCCACAGAGGCTGCAGCTATGGTTTGATGGCTATGAGAAATGTGAGAGGTGGTGATGTTCCCAGGTGGATTGGAGCATTTGCGTGCACATCCTCCCCATCCCACTGAGCTGCTGGAAGATTGTTCGATCTTGGGCCATGTCTCAGAGCCAATAGCATGCTCAGAAGTAGACAGGAAAATCCCAGACTACTTGTTCTGTGTGGCCTTAATAGGCAATGTGACTGGTATAATAGGCTACTCACCACTTTCTGGGCAAGTAGATGTCATCCTTATCCTCTTTTTAGTTCAGAATAAAAATGACCCAGAGCTGGAAACATAACATAAGAGGAAGGAGCATGAATACACCAACTCTCTTTACGAACCTGCTGCACCATTCAACATTGCCATGGCTAATCTTAAGCTTCAACTTCATTTTGAGGTCAGCTGGCCAGCAGAAGAAATGCTGTGAGACTGGTTAAGAGCTACCATCAAGAATGCTGGAAACTTTGGTCAAGCTGGTTTAAACTCTGATCTAAGTTAAAACTGCAGCCGGGATATTTTGTGACCTGTCCTGTAAGCTGTGAGCTGCAGATTCCTTTGTTGCCCAAATAAGAGAGGTGTCATTGGTCATCTGCTAGACATACTGGCACCACTATTACCTTATACAGAGTAGAGTATGTGACTGTTTACGACTGGATATGAACATTCGGGAGTTGGTTGCCAGTAATGTTTATTGGCTAGGATCGAACGTTGTGATCAGGTCTGGTCAATTCATTGATTGAGTGCCAGAAATCTTTCTGGGGTTCTCTTGTGATGCAGTGGTAGTGTTCCTACCGCTGGATCAGGAAGCCCAGAGGGGTGTAATAGGTTGATTAGAAAAATAGGTTAATTTTTTTTAAATTGCAGCAACGTTTCTGGCAAATGAGCACACCTTGGGATAAAAGTTACCAGCACAAAGGATTTTACAGGAGTGAGCTCTCGAGATCACCATTTAGAACATACAACAGTATAGCACAAGAACAGGCCCTTTGGTCCACGATGTTGTGCTGAACATGACGCCAAATTAAACTAATCCCTTGTGCCAATCCTTGGTCCATATCCCTCCATTCCTTGCATATTCATGTGCTTATCTAAAAATCTCTTAAACACCCCATCATATCCGCCTCCACCACTACCCCTGGCAGTGTGTTCTAGACTCCTACCGCTTTCTGTATTTAAAAAAAAAAATTGCCTCGCCCATCTCCTTTGAACTTTGACCCTTCTCACCTTAAATGCATGCCCCTTAATTGTAGACATTTCAACTCTGGGAAAAAGATTCTGATCGTCAACCTTATCTATGCATCTCAATTTTATAGACTTCTATTAAGTCTCGCCTCAGCCTCTGGAGCTCCAGAGAAAACAATCCAAGTCTTTCTAGACTCTCTTTATAGGTCATATCCTCTAATCCAAGCAGCATGCTGGTAAAACCTCTTCTGTACCCTCTTCAAAGTCTCTACATCTTTTCTGTAATGTGGCAACCAGAACTGAACGCAGTACTAAGTGTGGCCTAACCAAAGTCTCATAAAGCTGCAACATGACATCCTGACTCTTGTACTCAATTCCCCAACCAATAAAGGCAAGCAAGCCATACGCCTTCTTTACCACCTTATCTACTTGTGTGGTCACTTTCATGGAACTATGGACTTGAACCACAAGATCCCTCTGTACATCAATGCTGTTCAGGGTCCTCCATTAATTGTATACTTTTCCTTAACATTTGATCTCCCAAAGTGCAGCACCTCACACCTACCTGGATTAAACTCAATCTGCCATTTCTCTGCCCATATCTGCAACTGATCTACATCCCACTGTATCCTTTGACAACCTTCTACACTATCCACAACTCCACCAGTCTTTGCATCATCTGCAAACTTACTAATCCATCCATCTACATTTTCATCCAAGCCATTTTTATATATTACAAACAGCATGGATCCCTGCGGAACACCACTAGTCACGGACCTCCAGCCAGAGAAACATCTTTCCACCTCTACCCTCTGCCTTCCATGGGCATGCCGATTCTGAATCCAAGCAGCCAAGTCACCGTGGGTCCCATGCATCTTAATCTTCTGGATGAGCCTACCATGAGGGACCTTGTCAAAAGCCTTACTAAAATCCACATAGACACCATCCACTGCTCTACCCTCATCGATCACTTTCATCACCTCCTTGAAAAATTCAATCAAGTTAGTAAGTCCTTCGCTTACGCCTCACTCCCCACCAACCACTCCAACCTGCCTAGTACCTTTCCCTGTAACTGTAAAAGATGCAATACCTGCCCACACACCCCCTCCCTCACCGCCATCCAGGGCCCTAAACAGTCCTTTCAGGTGAGGCAGAGTTTCACCTGCATCTCTTCCAACTTAGTCTATTGTATCCGGTGCTCCCAATGTGGTCTTTTCTACATCGGTAAGACCAAAAGTAGACTGGGTGACCATTTCGCTGAGTTTCGCCTGGCCCGTAATGGCCAGCCTAACCGCCTGGTCACCGCCCATTTCAACTCCCTTCCCCTCCCCGCCACTTCCTCTCTGACATGTCCGTCCTTTCCTCCAGATGCTGCCTGGCCTGCTGTGTTCTTCCAGCCTCCTGTTTGTCCAGTAAGAAATGACCTGCCCTGCACAAAGCCATGCTGACTGTCCCTAATTAGGCCATGCTTTTCCAAATGTGTGTAAATCCTGTCCCTAAGAATTCTCTCCAATAGCTTCCCAACCACCTCTACGAGACTCACCAGTCTATCGTTTCCTGGACTATTCTTATTTCCTTTCTTGAACTGAAAAACAACATTAGCTACTCTCCAGTCCTTTGGGTCCTTTTCAGTGGCTACTAAGGATACAAAGATCTTGATCATGACCCAGCAATTTCGTCTCTTGCCTCTCTCAATAGCCTAGGGTAGATACCATTGGGTCCTGGGGACTTATCCATCTTAAAGCTCTTCAAGAGACCCAATACCACTTCTGTCTTGATCTCAAAATGCCCTAGCATATTTGCATGCTCCACACTAATCTCACTATCCTGCATGTCCTTCTCCTGGGTGAATACTGACACAAAGTCCTTATTTAGGATCTCACCCACATCATCTGCCTCCAAGCACAAGTTCCCTCCTTTATCCTTCAGTGGTCCTATCTTCTCCCTAATGATCATTTTTTTTTTAATGTATATATAGAATGCCTTGGGATTCTCTTTGACCTTACTTGATATGGTCATTTCATGATGCCTCCTTGCCCTCTTAATTCCCTGCTTGAGTTCTTTCCTCCTCTTGAATGTATTTAAATTCTGCCCCGTCTAAACCTCTTGCTCTAAGGGAAGTCCCAGTCAAGATTAGGGAAGTTACAGTCACCCACTACGCCGAGTACTCTGGTTTCCTCCCACAGTCCAAAGATGCAAAGGTTAGGTGGATTGGCCATGCTGAATTGCCCTTAATGTACAGGCTAGGTGGGTTAGCTATAGGAAATTCAGGGTTACAGGGGTTGGGGTCTGGGTGGGATGTTCTTCAGAGTGTTGGAGTTTGGACTCGATGGGCAGAATGGCCACACTGTAGGGATACCATGATAATTTGATTGACATCTGAATTGACTCCTTGTCTTATGTCTGTCACACGAGGGAAGAATACCTGGGTAAAAAGGTTTGAATACTCCTTTCAGGTAACAATTTTCTTGCCCGCTTCTCCCAATTCCATGAAGGCAAGGATCTGTCTATTGCAACCTTAAATACACTCAGCAATACATCATCCAGAACCCTCAGGTCAAGGATTTCAAAGACACTTAACCTCTTGAGTGAACAAATTTCTCCTCATTTCAACGCTAAGTGATTGGTTCCTTGATTTGAAACTATAACCTTGTGTTCTAGATTCCCTAGCCTCAGAAACGACCTGTATCTGTGCTGTCAATACCCTTCAGAATCTTGTGTGTTTTCAATGAGATCACATCTCATTCATCTGAACTGCAGAGAATATAGACCCATTTGTTCAGGATCTCATCATTTGGACAACATTTTTCATCCCAGGGATCTAGTGAAAATACTAACAACACTGCACACTACTTTCTGATGATTTCATTACAATTACAGTAGAATTTAGGAAAACAT